AGTGAAAAGCCAAAGAGAGGGGTTTTGTGCACCAGAAATCCTAATCCTTTCTAATATAAAAATATATATCTGATTCTGTAAAATGACCCATATTTAATTTCCTTTTGAATTATAGTTAAAATGCCATAGACGTAACAGGAGGAGTAACAAAATGGCAGACATTTCTCACAGTGTACTGGCACGTTCCATTTAGAATACTTCATTGTTTCATTATTTTTGGAAGATGTGATTTCACATTGCCATTTTCAGGGAAGAGATAATTTCAAATATTGGCAAATTCAACCTGGCTGTAGGTGAAGTAGTATATTTTGCTTCTTGTCTTCCACAAGATCACGAGCTGATTTAACACCTTTTTGGTTTTACGCCACTTGGAGTTTCATATTTGACTTAAAAAATCATGTCATACACGCTTAGCACCAAACAGATACCATATAATAACAGGTCGCATGCAGTTCAGGCTGAGGTAGTTTTATTTCACGTTATGAGAAATGTAAAAGTCTTGGTGTGTGATTACTGGAGGCAGAGAGAAGAATGTAGGGAAGGAGAAAATGTCTGATATAAGTGCTGTTCTTGTAAACCTCCACATGGCTTTCCTGTCCATAGTATATAAATCGGTACACCTGAGACCACATGCAGTGTAAGTTGCCTATTCACTCTCCCAGACTGGCACTGGCTCAGAATTCTGCCTCTCTGAAAACTTACAGAGAGCAATGATTTTAGAATGGCTCCCTGCTGTTTATGTTAGTTTGGGGGGTCACATAGCTATTCTATCAAAATATCTGGGCTTCATTGAGTAGGTGGATTTTTGAATTAAAGTGCTCTTTGGCTGTTTCAAAAAATTTTCAACATTTTTCTCAGTGCAATTGAAGCTGCACTTCAGTCATGCTTTTAAGCTTTTATTTGAAGCTACCAAGGCTAGAAGTAAATTCTTAAATTAAAACCGAAATAGTCTCATACTAAGAACAATCTCCAGTGATAAGTGGGGCTCTAGGCAGAAGTTATACTGCTTACATCTAAATATATTCAGATCTTAAGTCCATGTGCAATTTCTTATGGAAAAATGCAATTCACCTCAACCACAGAAGTGTTCATGATAAGTGTTAAAATGTTACCATGGAGCTGAAGGAATTGATCCTAGGTGTCAACTATTTACATGAAGGCTTGAGGAGTATTTATGGCATTAACAAGAAAACAATCTGTTTCTGCACCTAGAGTCAGTCCAGACAACTCTGAAATACTAAGTGCTGGTACTCTGTGGCACAGTCAAGGTCATAACCTTTGTGCTAAGTTGAAGGTCTTCATGTGGCTGACTTGAATGCTACCAGTGAAAGGAAGGATGGAGTTTGCGGCTCTGTTGCAGAATTCTGAGTGTGTTTCTCTTTGATCTGAAAGAAAATCACCTTCTCTTGAACCTCCAGGTTGTATTTGTGTCTTTGTTTAGGGAATAGAAATAATGTATTAGTTGTGTTATGAGCTGTCTAGTGGTGAAAGGAAATGCAGAAAGATTCAGTCATGTGGTGCTCTTTAACAGCTGTGTGAGGGCAGGATTAGGGTCTGAGAAACTGGAGTGGACAGGGCTCTGCTCCCCTTTCCCACACAGGTTGTCACTCACAGACTTGGACTTCAATGCAGTCTACTCATCTTCTCAACCCTCCTTGTGCTCCCAAGTTTAAATGCCAAAAATCCCCATTTTTGAGCTGAATTTAGTGAGCTGTGGTGAAAGGGTGTGTGGAAAGAAATTTGTGAAGAAGACTGAGAATTGTCTGCTTTGCCCTTAGGATGGGGATTGAATGGGTAGAGAAGAAAAGACTACTAACTCAGAAACTGCCTGGTTCCAAGGAGAGCAGAACTATATCAGCAGTTGGAAGCTGCTGTGCTATCCCAGTCCCTAGGGAATGGCATCAGTGTTTTGTTTATCAGCTCCTCTGATCACCTACAGCTCCCTTTGGCTTCAGGCATTAAGGTTCTGCCTAGTGGCAGTTGGTGAGTGAGACTTTCAGTGCCTGACTGAAGAGAACCCCTTCTGGAGCTCCCGCTGCAGCGTTGTGAAGAGCTTCTCAGCTGCAGCTTAAAGGCCCAACAGAGATTTTTGTGATTTGACTTAAGGGATTGCTTTCAGACATGAAGCAAATAAGTGCTTAAGTATGGAGAGGGTGTAGTAATGAGTTTCAGATGAGGTCTTTTATGTTTATTAAAAGAGGTTTGAAAGTTTGCTGCTATTACTATTTCTTGTTTTCTAAAATGTCATCTTTGAATCTCATACTGCACACTGGTTACAAACTGCAAGATCCTATTACTGTAATATTGTAAAAAAGTCTTAAAAATAAAATAAATCCAGTAGAATATAAATCTTTTTTTCCAGTGTATAGAAAAGCAATGATCCATTTTAAGAGCAGGAAGAACATGCATTTTGAGATCCAATAGATCATCTAAATTGGTCCCAAACCAAGTTTTAAAATGGCATTGCAAAGACTTTTGCTTTGAATAAATTTAGCATTACAAAACTCAGAATATATAAAAAAATAAATTAGATTTGCTGATTTTTTTTTTGTACTTTACTAATACTCTGATTAACTAGGGAAAAAAAGTGCTTAATACATATGAACCTTTCTGACTATTCCAACTGCAGAGCGTAAATATGCTAAACTAATATTTATATCCTTTTACTTCCATCTAGCTTTTTATTATAATAAAATTTATGAATTTCTAGATAATGTAAACTTTAAACCCTTGTTCTTTATTTTCTGACATTTGCATGTTTGAAATTTGGATTACTGAATCTAAAAATTCTCACTTGCCTAACTTCCTGCAGCTTGCCTGTAGGTGGAGAATTATTCTAGATTGCCACATCATATATTTTCAGCCCAGACTTTGTCTTCTCAGTGGTGTCCCTTGAAGCCAAAACAAGCCTGTGTGTGTCCACTTAATGTGAACACCTCATGGTCACAGAGCTGCACAAGAAAACAGTATCAGAAAAAAGGACTCTGTTCAAGGAAACCTCCCACTGTAATAATGAATGATTGCACTGTCTTTATCTTAGTTCTCTACTTTGCATGAAATGATAACCTCATTCTAATGGCTTGCAAACCTTGAAAATGTTCTTTATGCCCACACTGCCACTTCTGTGTGCTTTCTGTGCTACAGAGCATCTTTCTTTTTCTGGGTGGAGTGGAAGGGCAAATGTAGATGTAGGCCTTTAGGAGTATTTTAATATCTCCTCTCCAGGACTTTTAAGTTTCAATGCGTTAACCTGCCTCTGGAAAACTGAAATATTTCACTAGAATAAACTTCTTGATTTATGAGCTTGAGACTGCACAAGAAATGCAGAACTGAATCCATAATGCTGAACACTAACAATGGGTTGGTTTTGTTGAACTCTTACAATGTTTAAAAGTGCTGACAAAATTTCATGGGTATACTATATTTTCTTGTATTATTTTATTTACAAAATAGCTCCAATAATATGAGGCTCACATCCAAAAAAAAAAAAAGTAGAAGACAAAAACAGAGTCTCCTTTGGTCTTTTAAAACTTAATATATGATGAAATCTGGTTTTTTTTAACCCAAAAATATCCCAACCCAGTATTCTATGCTGTGCTGCCTGTGAGCTGCTCAGTAATTCATTTGTAACTGCACTAGGAGTTTGGAGCTGTGAAGGAGGATTGTTATATCTGCTTGAAATTAGTTACTTCCCTATCTTGCTCTTTGTTTCTTCCTGTTTTGACATTTTTTTGTGTGTTTCCACCTGGATCCATGTGTATGTGCCTACTGTTCTGCCCATGTCTCTCTGTTCACATTGTGCGTACTTTCCTGTTTCTTGGTTAAACTACCAAAGAGCCGGTTCCCTCTTTCTCAATTTCATTGAACAGGTACCCTGTCATTTAGATTTTCCTTTTTCTTTCACTTTGTTCCTTACTTCACAAAATGTTTTTCTCTTTGTGATAATATTAATGCTGCTGTCCTTGAAGGTGGCTGCTGCTTACTCACCCCTCCCCGCCTTGTAATGGAGGACAGACAGCTATTTTTCCTCCTTATTTCCAAATGCTTTTATAAGTGTCCAAGCTTTTAATTGCAATTAGCAGTAGAGCTGGTAATAGAAACAACTGTATACAAATAGTAACCAGTATCAAGTGATCTATGGATTTTTTCCAGACCACCAGCAAGTATTTGCCTGGCCATGATTTGAGAACTGTTTGAATTGCATTAAGAGCATAATAAAATTGCATGCTTGAGCATTTATACAGCAAGAAATGAGAAAATCAAAGCTACGCACGCCTTCAGGGCTGTTAGAATGCTTTTGATTTTTTTTTTTCCTTTCCTTTTTTAATTTTTTTTTAGGGTTTCTAAAGGAAAAGAGCAGTTATGTAATGCAGAGCAATTTAGTGAAGTTCTTTATTAATACATTTGTGCTTAGGAAAATACTTGGAATATCCCTTATTTTGGTTGACAAGGCTTTGTGCTTACTACAGAAACGTACAGTACGGCCCATTTGTTAAGGGACTTATGTGATATACACTGGAGAAAAGTGAAGAACCTGATCATTTCCCTATTTGTCATGTCTTTGTTTAATAATTCTGTTTCTAGATTACTGAACTGTTGCCAAACCTGCGTAGTGATTGTAGTATCTGATTGCCCAGTTCATGGCTTTAACGGGCAAATTAAATACAGGATGTATAACACTATTTTCAATGAGTTATACATTTAATTAGTCAAGATGATTATTATTTTTTTAATCCCTCATGCATCTGTCAAGGTAGAACTGTTTTAATGTTATTTCATGTTTTGACTATTCTACTTTTTCTATTCACGGTTTGATGCTAAAAGTGCTTTCATTTTTTATTGCCTTTTAACAAGTAAAAGAATGTCTTAGTCCGAGATAAAGTTGGAAAATCTACATAGATAAGAAATAAAACATTTCTTAAGTGATGAAAAAAGATTAGAAAAAAAAAGTGCTAATGTTCTATACTAAAATCTAAATAAGTTTGATTTACTTACTGTAGGTTGATGCCTTGCGGTTACGATTGGAAGAAAAAGAAACTTTTCTGAATAAAAAAACAAAACAACTTCAAGACCTCACAGAAGAGAAAGGAACCCTGGCTGGAGAGATTCGAGATATGAAAGACATGTTGGAAGTAAAAGAAAGGAAGATTAATGTCCTTCAAAAAAAGGTACATTTCAAGAAAATGTTTATTTCTTTCTTATATTTTTCTTACTTATTTCGTATAGTGTATAACTTTTAATGCATTAAAAAATGCAAGAAGTCTGTAATAGACAAGTAGTTCTCTAATATAAAATATGTGTTATGTTTTCTGTGAAATCATTTCTATTATTTCTTATACTGTATCACAAAAATATTAGGTACTGCAGTTTCCACAAAATTAAATGAAAGTTAAATGAAAGTCCTAAAAATACTGACTAAACTTCTTATTCTTCAACATGAGGGATTCCGTTATCCTTACTAACACTGATTACTACTCTTTCCAATTAATGTAAATAAAATGAGTGGGACTGCTAAAAGATTAGGATACTGCTTTTTTTCTTTAGAAACTTTTTTTTTTTTTTTTTCCAGGGAGGAGACCCGGGAATGCCCCAAACTGCCCCGGGAAGAAGAGATCCCGCTCCACGGAATGGACTTCACACCCTCCCCGCTTCAAAATTAAAAATAGAATTTTTAAAAAAAAATTAAAAATGGGAGGGTTCCGAAGGGATGGGATTATTATTTTTTTTTCTGGCAGCGCACGTATCAGATGAAGGTAGTTTGGGTGCTACGAATATAAGACGAAAATACACCTAATTCCGTCATCATATAGATATAATATATTTCACTCTCACCACATAAATACAAAACATCCAAATATCCAAAACATTCAGAACAAAAGTTAGTAGCAAGGGCTCAGCGCTCGATTCATTCATTATTTTCTTCAACTAGTTGCCTAGAAACTTCAGACGTAAATAATTTACAATAAAATTACTATTTTCTTTCTGTCCAGCTCCTTCTGTCCAGTTCTGGTCTATAATTAATTCTATAAATTTAGTATATTGATTTTTTTTTTGTAAAATTTTTTTTTTTTTTTTTTTGTGGAAGGAAGAGGGGAGTAGGGAAGGAGCCTAAATTAAGTCAATTATCTGCTTTTCCTGTGAGCTAAAGACATTAAGAAGGGAGGCTCTCTCCAAATCGCCTTATTAGTCTAATTTCTAGTTTTCCACAAATTTAGTTAACTGAATTGACTCTCTTTGGGAAGTTGGATTTAATCATTATAGTTTCCACTTCGGGGAGCAGGGATGGAATTTCCTGGAAAGGCAGCTTTGCAAGGGTTCTGCATACAGTAGTAGAGTGTTTTTTTACCATATCCCTTTTCTCACGCTCAGAAAAATATTTATGCTAGCAGGTATGTTCTGTGTGTACTGCTCTTTATCTTCTATATAAATGCACTTGTGAGCACACAGATAAATGGAGAAAAAGTTCCTGGTGCCAAATACATTTTACTATTACTTCTCCTCTACTTATCCAGACACTCAGAGAATGTCTACCCCTTACTCTCTATTATTATGTAGGTAGCTTGTGTTATTGTGGTTTTCCTTCAGGATTCATATAGGGTTGACATGGTCTCGCTGTGCTTCTGTCTGTAATTGGCTAAATGCAGTCTTTAAAAAGCCCAGTCTTTATTTTCCAGAAACTGAGAAGCCTGCTGTTTCAGGCCCAGAAAATAAGGCCTATCACAACTGGAATATGTGTGCTTATCCACTGGAATCTTATTTCTGAGTATTTGCCATGTTAGCAATGCTGATGATGTAAAGATATCAAACTTCAAGCCTTTTATCCTGCACTGAATGCTAATTAGCTTTTGACGTCACTTGAGAATTTTAAATAAAAGAATGCATCTTTTCTTATGTTTTGTATCCTAAAAATAACCCAAACAAATCATAATTTACAGCAGGTCTTGTATTTAGATCTTGAGGAAATGAATCAGGAGGAGTGAGGAATGTGAATTCAGTGATCAAAATTGTGTGATGAATATAGCTTCCCACAGAGCTGTCAGCACTATCTGTCACGGCTATATGCTCAGAAATATGTGTATTTTTCTGGTTTTAATACATCATGGCTATTCTTAATGAAAATAATCACTTCACAGAGTGATTTACTGAAGTTATCTGAAGTTATCACACATTATAGCCTTGTGAGCTCTAGTATACAATGTGATGAATAAATCTGGCAAACTACTAGGTGCGAAATCAAAGTTAGTATTGAACTGATTCTTTAAAACTGGAAGTAGCACCTGATTTTTTTTTTGAGGTTTTTATGCTAGTAAATATGCTTTATCAGGGGACTTCTGATGTTCAGTTTTTCTGCTACGGGCAAAATACTGGGTTTACTTAGAGAAGAATGAATTATGATGATTACTTAAAAAAAAAAGAGAAGAATAGATCATTTATGTGACTTAAAAGTTAGGTGTAGATTTGCTTCTCTGAAGCATTTTTAATAACCACATGATCTTAACATATACATTTTTAAAGTTACCCTGAGGTCACATTTTCAGCTTTGGATTATTATTTTACTTGTGCCTAGCTTCTAATATGTTTGGAGATAAATTCACCCACAGGTAACCTGACTAGAGAAAAATTCGTTTGAAATATTTTCCTGCTCTGCTCCCCCCTGATATTTAAATAAATCTAGAGTATGGTACTATGAAGGGTGTTTTCACTGTGTACTTTTTATGTCTGGTGTACAGTTCTAATGTAGAAAATTCTGTATGTCACCAGTGGAAATCCAGGCTTTTAAATTCACTGGGGGGGTGTGGAAAATAAATCTATTTGTCTAGTTAACCCAAGTGTTGAACTTCATTTTTGCAGTGCTTATTAGATTCTTATTAGAGCCTCCTTGAGCATCCCAGTATTCTTGGCAGCAGATGCAATATTTGCATGTAGAAAGGAAGATGTTCAGTGTCTGTCTGCTTTTTTTCAAGAAGCTTTCCTGGCAGTAGTGCCTTTTTGTTCTCAATAATTTTATCCTCACTTCATGAAGTTATGTGTCCCAGGGCATTCATACCTCATAGAGTCTTTATGTTCTGTCAAAAGGAGCACAGGTCCTTTTTGACCATAGGCAGATTGTTCGTTCATTCATGTGTTATTTCAGAAATATGTTGGACTATGCATTGTAGCAATTCCTGGTGCTGTAGTACTCTTATTGTAATATTTTTGAACAGTCATTTTCCAAGGATTTTCAGGTAGTCTAGTAGTGGATGCTGTGCTTTAAGAAAAAGATTGTCTGATGTACCCCCTTTTTTTTTTCCAAGTTTTTTACAACAGACCTTTCCAATAGCAACCATAAGTAAAAATTAATTTTGATGGAAAATTATTTAATATATGTATCAATTGCAGTAATTTTATCCTTTACTTGAGTCCAGTTATGCTTTTATCCTTTACTTCTTGCTGGATTGTACATGCCTCTTGCACTCCTCCAGTTTTTAATCATGTTCTCCTTCTGACCTTTTTGGCCACTTCTTCCACTGTTGTTTTCAATTTGAGTGGTGGCAGCCAGACATTTGTGTGTTGAGCATTTGGAAATTAATTTATCCTCATCGTGCACATATATGTGGAGAATTCAGTACATGGAAAGCAACATGGACTGTTTCATATGACACTTGAGAGGGGAAACAATTACTGGGCCCTCTAGTGGATTGTTCTGCCTTTACATACCCTCTTGCAGGACAGTTGCCCTGGTTGCTGTCTTACTCTCATGAAAACCCACCTGAAAGTGAAGGATTTGCTTCTAGTTCTTCTTCCTAAGTTCTCTCTAGATATTGGATTCTTCTACTATAAGATTATAATGATTGTCTCCATTTCCTTTTTTTTCTATGCACGGCCAAATTTTATATCTGTGTATTTTTATTTATTTTTGATATAAAGAGTTGTGAATAACTAGTTATTTTAGTGCTTCATTTGTTGATGCAAGATAGACGTGTGGAACTCTCTTCGTTCAGCCTGAAGTGCTTCACTCATCCTAAAAGAATATTTGGTTTTATGGTTGTATTACTGTAATTGAAGAAGGAAGAATTTATATATAGTACTTAAAAATATTTCTGTCAGTATAACCTGAAACTGAGTAGGAAGGAATATGTAACTTGGAAAGATATAATTTCTAATTCTAGATTTCTCTTGTGTACATTACTATTATGGACCATGTTGAAAAATATGAAGGAGACTGAACCAAAACCAGGAAAGCTCCCTTTCAAAGTTGGAAACCAAAACCAGGAAGCTCCCTTTCTTCTTTCTGGATAGCTGTTGTACTTGAAGGACAAGACAGGTTCTGTTGATGGCTCTCTACCAAAGGTGTGGAAGAAACAAAAACATTAGCAACAGAAGAGCTGTGGTGAGTTCCACAGGATGGCATAGGAACACACATAAGACAACAAGTTGCAGAAAAAAGTAATGGGATAGATAATTAGATAATGATGCATTGTCCTTCCATGCAGTGATTTTGGTAAGATATTTGACCAAATATAAAAACCACTACACTGTTCAGTATAATTTGCAGGCTTCAGAGAGGCCCAGCACTGGAACAGTGTGCGTTAAGAGGATTTGGATCAAGGTAGATTGGCATGGAGTAATAATAAACTTATGTCAACGTCAGAGGTGCAATATTACTTAATATTTCTTTCTTTTAGAATCTTTGGCACCACTGTTCCATTTTAGTGCCAGTAAAGTTGGGTATGCTGTTTTAATAGCCTTGTTTAACCTGGCAAAGCTAGTCTTACACCTCATATCTGTCAGTTTAGCATGCAGAGGGGCAGACCTCAGAAATCTTTATGTATTTCTTTCAAGAACATGCAGGTTCTATGAATATGGCTGAGTTGTAGGCTGAAGCGTAGAAGTGCTGAACTCAATGATTCTTTCATGTCCCTCTTTGCTCCCAAATTTTCTCTTTCATACAGTGGCTATACCTGATGTGTTTTGTCCTCTAGGAATCTGTAGATATTTTCAAAGCAATTATATACTCTGAAATATGAGTCTCGGTGTTGAAAACAGTAGCTGTTGAGACAAGAACAGAGGTTGTAGACCTGGATCATATTAGGACAACAGCTTGTGGAAATTCTTTTGTGGGGACTACTATAAAAGAACACCATGTAAAGGGGGCTAATATAATATTCTACTTTGACTTGCAACATAA